TTAGGAGGTCCTAGCCATCTATTTTGTCTTCTGGATAGTTTCTTCTAGTTTTACCCATCTAGACTTAACAACAATAACCCTCCAGCCCTGTTCATTCCCCATCAGACTTATTTTTGTCCCACAAACTCAAAGAACATATCAAAGGAACATTAAAAAAAAAAAAAGAACATGATGTCAGAACTGCCATTTTGACGTGGAGTAAATCGAAGAGCTCTTTAGAAGTGTATAGACCTATATGGAGGATATGCTGAGAAATAATAGCTTCCCATTTTGGTAACTTTTTTTACATAAAGGTGTCTGATTTTGTAGTAGTACTTTTTACTTACCCTTGTATTGCTTATTTCCAGAATCTTTCATTCCTTCTTGTAAATCTAAGTAGGTATCTTTTGTTGTTTCCTTTTAGTCTGAAGAACATTTAAAAATCTTTTAACAATGCAAATGTGGCATTGAATTCTTTTACTGGGTACCTGAAAATGATGCATGTATTTTGCATTCAGTTCTCTGTTGAGAACCCCTATCGTTTATAATTCCTTTACTTTATTGAACATATTTATAATAACTGCTTTTAAGTCCTTAACTCCTAAATCTGACACCTGTGCCACTTGACTTTTTTTTTTTTTTTGACAAGTATGGATCACTTTATCTTGTTTCTTTGCAAGTGAGTTTTGTTTGAAAACTAGACATGGTAGATCATGTCTAAATTCTGTTTTGTTTTTCTGTGAAGGGTGATTTTTTGGTATTTTCTTAAAAAGTGTTTTGTCCTAAAAGAAAAAAAAATAGCTACTTAACCATAGAGTATGTAATTGTAAGTTTAACAGAAGAACTGATTTTGTACGCTTTGCAGTGTCTTAAAACACTTAATTTTAAACCCTGTTTTGGAGAAAAATGATACAGTCCCTTCATTACTCTGTTATAGTTTATAATTTGCTATTGTTAATTTCTTTAGAAAAAAGTAGTGAGTATAATTGTTTCTTTAATATTGTCTAATTAATAATATCAGGTAACCTTATGGGTATGTTCCTACTGTCTTTTTAATCATTATTTAATACCTTTCTTTCATGATTGCTATTAACTATTTGATGATCATTGCCCTTAAAAACTACTCATGGGAATTATGTTTTGGCTGATAAAATTTTTGCTTGTTTGTTCCAGTCGTGTAAAAGTATTCCCAATCTGAAAGTACTTTAAATCTGGGGCGTTACTCTGCATGACCAGCCTCAGGATGCAGATTTACACAGCAAATATGTGATGCCGGATCACTGCTTGAGTCTGATATGATTTGGGTGTGGAACTCCTTTTTCAATCATCTCAAAATCCTGAGGATTTTTAGTTTTCAGTAGAGATGTCTGTCCAATTAGTCTTAACTATCATTTTTGTCAGAAATGTATATCTTTCATGTGTTTAAGCTTTTTTTCCAATTCATTATAAAAAGTCTTAATAAATTTTTGCTAAGGAGATGTATATTTGTGATCCTGTAAAAAAAAAAAAAAAGACACAAGGTAATAAGCAGTTAACAAATGCTTATTTAATAAGTAAAAGAAACAGTAAATATGAAATGATTTTGTTCTTTTGAACTTTAAAACAAATTTATTTGAAATTGCTGATATGCACATGCATCCTGGAAGCTTTCACAATCTCGGTAGACTTTCACCTGGGTATTGTAGGATGGCTAGAGGACAGCACACCACCGCAGTAGTCAGATTATCTAGGTCAGAGGAGCGAGCAGTGTATTTCTGAGAAGCAGGTGAGTATGCTTGTTGTTTTGTTTTTATTTTTTCAATGTCCTCAATTTATTTACTGGGGAGTCTCATTTCTCATATTAATTCATGGGAACCGGAGCCGAACTACTTATCAAACATCATTGCAAATTCTCCTGACCTTTGTGTCTACTCAATAGCAATTTACTGTATTGTCCTGAAGAGTATTATTTATCTGGAATGATTTTTCAAAGTTGTCACTTTGATTAAAATTGACCTACATCCAGAGAAATCCCAGTGCTTTCCTCCTCCTCAGGAAAAGCCTTCTGCACACTGGCTATGGGAAGGAAGATCTTGTAGCCTCTCTCTTATAAGATCATGGACTAAGTCCCCTGACCTATTCCAGGGACCTCTCTTAATAGATATGAAAGATTGTCAAATTGCATAAATATAAATGTTTGTTTGAGCATCTCCACATGCTTGGCCAATAGGTTCTTTAGTTCCCACCTGTATAAATTCTTTCACAAGTAGATCTCCAACAAGTGAAAAAAGCTTTGAAAAAGTTGACTACTGAATTTTAGTCAGACTTGCGTTTTCAAAATTCATCTTCATTATAAAAGACAGAGAGACAAAATAGTTGGCTTCTGAGTAAAATGCTGCAAATATCTGTGTCAATTATTAAAAATGAGGCTAGTCTGTTTGATAATAGACACATAATTAAGCAAGCTGTGTTCCATCCACAAGGGAGTATTCTGTAAGCCAGTTGTTATCAAGTCAAGCCTGACACATGGTGATCCCATGTGTGTCAGAGTACAACTATAAACAGGCTTTAAAAAGTTTATGGAAAAATGGAATCAAAAGATAATGGATTTTTCCCCCCGTGAACTTTTTAAGCCTTCTTATGCATTACACTGAGTTTTCAGTAGCTGATATTTCAGAAGTAGATCACCAGGCCTTTCTTCCTTGATCTTCTGAGTGGACTTGAACCTTCGTCATTAACTATCTGCACCACTCAGGAATGGACTATTTTATAGTCATTTAAAATTACCACTACAACAAAGAGCTAACACAATGGGAACTGTGCATGATGGTGAGTATGTTAAATGAGGTATTCACAGTGGGCTGACTAAACTGACTAGTTCCTGTTGAGAATAATAGAAGATATTACAGATTATAGAAAAAGTTGGGTATTGTTTTTGGGTGTCTATCTCACAACACCTGAAAAAGTTATTCCTAGTGTAACACTGGGATACCTAATATTGAACTTTATCACTGGGGAAGAAGCATGATCCCTGCTTTCTTATGTGTTATCTCTACAGCAGTGTTGTAAAATAGAGAAAGGGAAACAAAGTACCTTTTGAAAGGTGTTTTCTGCCTCTTTCTAAACCTTAGTAAGTTCTTAAGTGAGTAAAACAATTATTTCTAATATGTACAGGAAAATCTGTCGTCTTTGGTATTTACTGCTATTGTTTATTGCCCTGCCTAAAGACTTAATCTCTCAATATGAAGTGTATCACACCAGTCTCTCTTACTTAAGCTGACAGTTTGGTTTATTTGTGGTAGTTGGCAAATATGAGTGGGTCACTTACCTGTTTCTTAATCCAATTTTGTTAGCTCTGTATGTAGTAGGCATGCTTCTGATATTTTGACAAATATACTGTTTTTATATCACTGTTAATTTTTACAATGGTATTTTAGTGGGAGAAGCTGGCACGAGCCAGATACCTTTTTAAATCAGAAAAATCTAGGTTTTGAAAGAAGCAGTGTCTTTAAAGTTATTTGAAAGAAATGGCATTTTCCAAAGTCTCCTAGTCATTTGTTGATCAGACAGGCATTTATTGAAGTTCTTTTTTTTTTGCTGTTTCCTTTAGAGGTATCAGTTTCTGGCATAATAATGCCAGCTGTGCGTACAACAGCCCTGGGAGAATTTGTTCAGATTGATATATATTATCTTAGAGATTTTTGTCAATAGGAAATATAGCTAGATTTTATATATATATATACTTATGAAGTATAAAACTACAAACATGCAAAACTGTTGACTGCTAAAACTATACCACTAACT